TAGTTATTATATATTTTATATAACAGTTATAATTAATATATTCTATAATATAATTAATATAATATAGTATAATATAGTAATTTTGTTAAAAATTTAACTTTTCCAGAATTTAGTGTAATATTTAGATTTTTAATAGTTTATTTCAATTTTAATAGTAGTATATTAATATATAAAATAATTACTATATATATATTACTTAAATTACATAATAACAAGCTACAATATAATAAACTGTAATAAAATAAAATTTCAAACTTCATCACTAAAAGAAACCCAATCACCTACATAATCCATTACCTTCATCCTCCCCTTCATAAGGCTGCCAACAGCTTCGTCAACTCTAATCGATCACCCCAAACCCACTCTCCGATCCACCAAACCCACGTCACTTCAGATCATCCACAGAAGAATCAAGGAACACCTCTCCAAACTCTCCACCACTTCCGAAACCCATAATTAACCACCTGAACCGATCGCATATCCCCACCACCTTACCCCATACCCAACGTAAAATCTCAAACGAACGTTCGATCATCTGAAAAACACAAACTCCTGCATCGAACCTACCTCACTCTCGTCACGAAACCCAAACACGTATATACACCTGGGCGAATGCAAAAGCATACCCCTTCAGAAACGTTTAATCGGTCGCGGGATCAGTGCAATTAACGCGAATTAATGAGTCTTATCAGATGCGGCGAGGCGAAGCGGCTGGTTTTTCGGTCCCAGAGCGAAGCAACAGCTAGTAGGGGCGGTTTCACGGTGTGTCGCGCGTCCACGACGAGGGCGGCTTGGTGGGGGGATCGGTTAAGAGGCGAACAGGGAACCGGAGAACGACGAAGCACGAGTGAAAGGGAGCCAACGAGGATGGTGGGGTGAGGTGGTCGGAGAGGTGGGAGAGAAGGGGTAACCGAGCGTCGAGTGAAAGGAAGGAGCAGGACGGAGGATGTCTGTCGTGGCAGAGTAGCGGCGGTAGTAGCATATACGGCGGTTTAACTCGCGGGGAAAACTCTGAGAGCACGAGCTCGCGATCCTCAGTCGCGTGTGACACGCGGCCTTAGTAGGTGCGCGCTCGGTTTGCTATCCGCGGCGTCTGCATTCTGTGGTCGCGTTGCGCTCGACCGCCCTCAAGGATCTCTCATCGTCTTATATCGCTGGGAAAAGTGAACTTTCGACGTTCCCATTTTGTGTTATTCCCTTTCGAACTTTTGGCCACTGAAAGCAGTGAATATTAGACATCGTTGAGTCTTGTGGAGCAACGTTTCCTATGTTTAACTGGGGAACTCGTGGATATTGTGCGTCTTGGAATTTTATAAATTGAAATTTCGAATTTTTTACTTTGGATCTGATGAATATTGTGAACCTTGGAATTTTATAAACTACTATTTCGAGTTTTTGACTTTGGATCTAATGGGTATTATGGATCTTGAAATTTTGTAAATTGGAATTTTGAGCTTTTAACTTTGGATTTACTGAACATTATGGGCTTCGAAATCTTTTATTTTTACTTTTGTAACTCCTGTTTAAAATTCTTTTTTTTCGTGGTCCTAAAAACTTTGTAATTTATAATTTTGAGTATTTATCTTTGGGTCTGGCGGATTTGTGGATTTTTATTATCTCCAATTTTTAAGTAATAAATTCAAATTTTAATTTATGTTGTGAATTTTCATTATCGAATTTTTGTAAAATGGTGGACCTCGGTATTTGCTTTTTATTTTTAGAATTAATGAATATAATAAACTCTTAGTATCGAATTTTCGAGTATTGAAATGTTGAATTTTTATTTTAAAAATTTATGAGAATATTGTGAATCTTCTAGTATCTTATAGATCCTTAATATTATAAATTTCTACCTACTTTATGAATCCATAAATAATAAATTTAACATTTTTTATACAAAACACAGATAAAAGCTCAAAAATCAAATTTTGTTGATTTAAACTTGACTTTTGGATAACCAGACTAACATAGATCATAGATCTTGGCCGTTCCTTGATCTCATATATCTCAATCACAAATTGATATCAAAATTGATACAAATTTTGAATGCTGCTCATTGTCAAATTTTGTGAAATTATATTTTGCATTTTTATCCACGAGACTAACATACTTTATGAATCATCGATGTTCTCGAATTTATAGATCCAAGCTCAAAATTTTTCTCGTCGAGATTAATAGAGACATCGAATCGTGAGGACTATCAAATTTCGTGAATTTATGTTTCTAATTTTTATTGCCAAGGAAGACAGTGATACGTGGATTCAAGTTTGAAATTCTTGTCAACAGAACCGAAGAGACCGTGGACACTCTTGGATTTTCTGGATTCCAATTTGAAATTTTTATCAGCGAATTTACGAGTGCTGAAAGTGCTCGAATTCAGAAAAGTTTAACGTGATATTGATATTCCATCTTGTGAGTCTCGAAGGAGGACTTTGATCCTGGAAATTTTGAAGATTTCCAAGCACCATTAATTACTCCGATTAAATTAAAATCACGATTCATTACAGAAGATTCAATGTTAAACGTGTTTCAATATTGGAAATTAAAGTGCCAGTCTTTAAGCCTGAAGTTCAATTTATAACAATTTGTGCTTGCAACCTGATATTGCAAATTTTCACAGTGTTTAAGCCTCGGGAAATCGCTGAAAATTAAAAACCATAAGTTATAAACGTTCGAAAATTGCTTGAAAATTAAATATTATATTTATGAATAAATTCTTACGTGTAGATAAGTGGGACTGCAAAGGAGCACAATTAAAACATCAAACGAAGAGAAAAAGCTATAATTAGATAATAAATATTCCTGAAAATTTTCTAAATTTTCTAAAACTAAATTCCTTAATAAATTCAAAATTAAATTTCATTACAGACCAAAAGTCACTATTAATATTCCAAACTCTCGTCCAGTTCAAACAGACAAATAAATAAATAAGAAAATAAATAAAAATGGACCTCGATGCAATAATAAATAGACAAAATTAAAAATTCCTAAATTAAAAATTAAAAAAACCTAATTTCTCCGTACTTTGATAGTATTTTGTCATTAACAAAGCAAGAAACGTCAAGAACCAAGGATACTTGGTCCACCAAGCCTCACCTGGACACCCTCTACCGGACTACGATACGATAATAAATAGACAAAATTAAAAATTTCTAAATTAAAAATTAAAAAACCTAATTTCTGGGTACTTTGATAGTACTTTCCTATTAACAAAGCAAGAAACGTCAAGAACCGAGGATACTTGGTCGACCAAGCCTCACCTGGACACCCTCTACCGGTGACCGAATGCAATCCGGTGATCCAGGATCAGCGAGATCCGTTCGATTGAAGGGCGAAGGTATTACAAACCCTGTTCGAAATTACGAGTCGGCCAAGACGATGAATATTTCATCGTCACCTAGGTGAAACACGGTATAGTTGCTGAACATCCCTGAAAGGATTGACAACGATGCTCGTGACCGAGCCTGATGGAATCTTTCGCGACGTCGCGCCTGTGAGGAGCGTCTCAGGTGAAACTGGAAACGGAAGAGTACCTCGGGTATACTGAAAACTCGATGGAATTCGCGACGAAGAACTATAAAAGCTGTGGAAGCACCCTGGAAACTACGAAAACCATTCAAACTACCGAGAGGTAGAGGTATACCAAAGACGGTATGGGAATGCGCTACAGGAAGTATAGAAGTTATAGAAATATTCTATAGGAACTATAGTGATTATCGAAATATCCCATAGGATCTATAGAAATTATAGGAACATCCAATAGAAAGCACAGAAAAACAGAAATATTCTATAGACCATAGTAGTATACTATAGATACTATAGAAATATCGGAAAAGTACTGCAGAAATTGTAGGACTATAATAAAATACTATAAGAACATGATAAAATATTACCCAAACTATAAAAATACAGTAAATATACATATATGAAGAGTGCTATGAAAAATATGGGAATATGGAATTGCATTACAGAAATTGTATAAATACTGGAATATAGTATAGAAGTCATATATGTTTGTTACAGAAACTATAGAAATATACTATAGTTTCAGGAATTAGTACAGAAACTCCTCGATACTGAAGAACTTTCCTCCCCCACCCCCATAAACCTGTCATCAAATAAAAATCTAAAAGACACTGACACTGCAATCGGTAATTACCATGTTACTAGAAATATTCCCTAGTAAATCTCTAGAAGATCACTAGAAGAGCGCCGGTCGAGGATTCCGCAATTTCGCTGAATATTTGATCCAGGAAACGAAATTAAATGGAAAAATTCGAGATTCGGGGATCTTCGTTGGCCAGACAATAATATTCGTTAGCAGACATAGGGAATATCACGTTCTGTCACGTTCGAATGACAAGCAGGTATTCATACTAACCAGGGTGCCGGAAGTGCCATCCTCGACTTGCACTTTCGCCCACGATGAGGAACGGCCTCGAGGAACGTGACACGGTGGACGACTCGCGATGGAAGCGTTATTTAACGTCGTTCCCCGTGGATTCGTGGCTTCTTTGAGAGAATAGGACCCGGTTGTGGAAGGAACCGGAAGCGGAGAATGCGAGAATCGACCGCGAGGGCGTAGATAGGTCGAACGGTGTGTATCGTTCCGACGCGGTGTTCCCGTTTTATGGTTTCTGCGGGACAGGGCGAAGGAAGAGGCAAGAATCATGAGGGATAAATTTGCATTCAGCGTAAGTGCCCTGGAAATATTGGATTCTGCGTTTATTTTAGGAGCGGAGCGTGACATCGATGCGAGACCATCGATCGGTTAAGGGAAGTTCGAGTAGAGACTGTTGTCGAGGATCGTGCAGGATCGGGAATTAATTATGAAGGCTCGGCGAGAGAGGCTGCTGTTTTATTATAGCCAAGTAGACGAGGAGTATTGGAGAGGGTTCAATGGGTGTCATATTTGGTATCAATGAGGGTGCAGAGTTATTTAATTCGGTGATGCATGGTATTGTTGATAGTATTTGAATAAATTTTTATTTCAGGTTTATGGTAGTTTAAATCATTTTTATAGCATGATTTTGGGGAAGTTTTTAAATCTAAGTATACGTTAGATAATTTTACGTCTTTGTTTATATTTTTTGATAATTTACGTAATTTTGTGTTTTATCTTCTTTCGTTTTATTGGTTGCTGTAGTTGCTAATACAAAGTATCTTTTGAGGGGACGTTCTTTAAATAAGGGGAAAAATTTTGTTTCATGATAGCATTTTCTAAATAGGATGCAGTTCTTTGGAAATTTAAATTATGTAACTATTTAATTTTATTGGCACCAATATTTTCTTTACGTTTCTTTTAGTATCTTAAATATTGAGAAAAATTTTGTTTCGAGATAGCATTTTCTAAATAGGATGCAGTTCTTTGGAAATTTAAATTAAATAATTTTTTAATTTTATTGGCACCAATATTTCCTTTATGTTTTTTTTAGTTTATAAAATATTGAGAAAAATATCATTTCATGATAGCATTTCCGAAATAGAATCCAGTTCTTTAGAAATTTAAATTATGTAATTTTTTTATTTTATTGGCTCCAATATTTTCTTTAAATTTCTTTTAGTTTTTTAAATATTGGGAAAAATTTTGATTCGTGATAACATTTTCTAAACAGGATGTAGCTCTATGGTATTTTAAATTAAGTAATTTTTTAATTTTATTGGCATCAATATTTTCTTTAAATTTCTTTCAGTTTTTTGAATATTGAGAAAAATATCGTTTCGTTGTAGCATTTCCGAAATAGAATCCAGTTCTTTAGAAATTTAAATTATGTAATTTTTTTATTTTATTGGCTCCAATATTTTCTTTAAATTTCTTTTAGTTTTTTAAATATTGAGAAAAATTTTGATTCGTGATAGCATTTTCTAAATAGGATGAAGTTCTTCGGTAATTTAAATTATGTACCATTTAATAATTTTTTAATTTCATTGTCTGGAATATTTTGTGGTACAAAGTATTTTTTAAAAGGACGTTTTTAAAATATTCTGAAGAATTTTATTCCATGATAACGTTTTGTAAATAGGATGCAGTTCCTTCGTAATTTAAATTATGTAATTCTTATATTTTTAAATTCCATTGGCAGAATAACTTTCTGATACAAAGAATTGTTTGAAAAGAAATTTTCTAATTTTCTAATTTCTTAATGTATATTTGATTAAAATCGAAATTTTTCATATATTTAATAATATTATATTCTTGTCTATTTATCTATAATTTATTACAAAATTAACGGATCAAGGTGTCCCTAACGCCAATACAAAATAAAATTATAATATTACTAGATTTTATTGAGGAAATAAATTTTCTCAAACTTCTAAATATTGAAAGAAAATTTCTTCGAATACCAAAATGCAACACTGTCATCTAGCTCCTTCAATATTCATTTATTTAAAGATTCATAAATCACGGATTTTGTATATTTCTCTAATTACATAAATTAATAGACTCGTTTAATTATTTTAGAATACAAACTGTGTTGCAAAATTTCCCATTTACGTTAAAAATTCTTGACTGACGTGTCCGAAATCATAGAGGTGATGAATATTCTAAATTTCTCGAAAACGGTTCTATAATTCCGTTCACTACCTAGTTTATTCTATAAATATTTCATGAGTGATAGATTTATATCCTTATTATCTGCACCCGCCATCTTTCTCAAATTTACTGTAACGGGAACTAGCAAACAAAGAGTACATTAGTGGCTTATAGTATCCTATCTAGAATTTCGGTAGTTTATGAGCTACCAAAAACACTATACTCATTACTCAAACAATTATATATAAATAGTTAACAAAATTAAAATCAATAATTAACGTATTTAAAACAACGAAAATACAGGGTGTCCCAAAAGCGTATACACACTTTAATATTTTATTCTTTCTAATTTATTCTTTCTTTTCTAGGTACAACTCATTTAAAATAATGACTGATCTTAGACTAGACTTTGAAAAACGTAAATATGTTTTAAAGTGCTACCATAAGTGTGAAGACATACTGAAAGTGCAAACACGGTATATATATTGTGATAATCACACAAGGTGTATATATATTTTTTTGGGACACCCAGTATAATATATCACAATATCATTACATGGTATGCATAATTAATAATAATTAAGAATGCTATGATAAAAGAAAAAGAAAAAAGAATATATAGTTACATTTTTATCTCACTAGAAATTACTATTAATTTTACCAAAAACAGCAATAATTGAGGTATTCCCAAACCAAAATGATCAATACCTTTTAAAATTTTCAAAAGTTCAATACTAAAATGCTTGACTGATACTTATTGACTGATATTTTTCATAATTAAAATAACTTTCTGAATTTAATTAATTTATTTCAAACGAACGATTAAAATAAATTATTATACAAACAAAAAGTCTAAAATCAGTCATTTGGACTGTTTTAATATTATTATTATTTTACCTTATTATTTTATTATTTTTATATTGTCGTTATTAATCACTATACTTCCAAATTTTCCTCGAACAACGTTTAAACGTAATTATATCAATATTACAATACTGTTATTACAATCAGTAAAATCAGTCATTTGGACTGTTTTAATATTATTATTATTATATTATCGTTGTTAAATAATATATTTCCAAATTTTCCTCCAGCAACGTTTAAACATAGTTACATCAATATTACCATCCTGTTATTAGAATCAGTGAAATCAGTCATTTGGACTGTTTTAATATTATTATTATTATATTATCGTTGTTAAATAATATATTTCCAAATTTTCCTCCAGCAACGTTTAAACATAATTACATCAATATTACCATACTATTATTAGAATCAGTAAAATCAGTCATTTGGACTGTTTTAATATTATTATTATTTTATCTTATTATTTTACTGTTATTATATTATCGTTATTAAACGCTATACTTCCGAATTTTCCTCCAGCAACGTTTAAACGTAATTACATCATTACCATACTGTTATTGCAATCAGTAATAATGATATTACAATTAATTTCAATAAATTAATATATTACAGTTGGTTCTCGATAAATTAATATAATACAATCCAGGAAAATATTCGTCGATAATTCGAAAGAAAATTCGCGGGTAACCCGAGCTCGCTTATGGCAGCCAGCATGCAACCGGTTTCTCGATTTCGCGCAACTATTTGGCAGTGTTAATTACCGGCCGAATGAAAAACGAGCCATTGCGTGAAGCGTAATAATGTAAAACGTTAGGATCACGATATAGCATAAATTAAACCCTCGTTACGAGACGGTATGAGTTACTCGACGCGACGCGACGCGTTGCTCCCGCGGAGGCAAAAGCCAATAATTAAACCCGATGCGGGGGAATATTGTAAAGATGTATTTATTCGGTACACATCGCGCAATTTCCGATAGCTAATAATTCGACGTGCACATATTTACAATTTTCACTCCTTCCGCCCAGATCTATTTACGTGCGATCGTGCGATCCAATCATCTTCCGCTTCTGCGCACGGTCGATCGGTGAAAATCGCGAGTTTTCACAAATTCCCGATTTTTAGAGTACCAACCATTATTATTCTCACCTTCTTTCGTTTATTTTTGGGAAAATTGGTAGAGATGGAAAGGTTTCGAAATTGAACAATTAATTCGGAGAAATATTGTTATGGGGAGTAGGTGATACAAATTTTGTATATAAAATTTATTATTTGTGTTTAAAATTGTAATATTTATGAATGTGTAATAGTAATAAAATTAAAATCTTTAAATGAAATTAAAAATTCAAATTTTAACATTTTTAATAAAAAAGGTTTCTTATGGATATCATTAATTATGGTTTCCGTTTAATAAGTAATATAATTTAATATATATATAGTATCATATATATATAATCTATTATTATTACCATTGTAGGTGTCTCTCATACGTATCAAATTATTGGAGATATAATTTCAATAATTTTAGGAATTTATATATTAAATTTTGCATATGTATTGTGTAAAAATAAAATCGAGGAAATTAAAAAATACTTTTTCCAAATTACTATAAATTCGATAATTTTAGAAATTCAGTCATTAAATTTTGCACATGCATTTTTAAAAGTCTATCATTTAACAAAAAGGTTAATAAAAATAAATTTTTCAAAAATCCTACACTAAACATCGAATACTTCTTTTCTTAAAACTTCCACAAATAAAATTTCTCTGAGTATCTACAAAACGAATAAATTTTTCAAAAATTCCCTTTTTAAATGATTTTACAAATTAAAAAAAACTCTTTTTCCAAATTATTATGAATTCGATAATTTTAGAAATTCAGTCATTAAATTTTGCACATGCATTTTTAAAAGTCTATCATTTAACAAAAAGGTTAATAAAAATAAATTTTTCAAAAATCCTACACTAAACATCGAATACTTCTTTTCTTAAAACTTTTACAATAAAATTTCTCTGAGTATCTACAAAACGAATAAATTTTTCAAAAATTACCTTTTTAAATGATTTTACAAATTAAAAAAAACTCTTTTTCCAAATTATTATAAATTCGATAATTTTAGAAAGAAATTTAGTCATTAAATTTTGCATATGCATTTTTAAAAGTCCATCATTTAACAAAAAGGTTAATAAAAATAAATTTTTCAAAAATCCTACACTAAACATCGAATACTTCTTTTCCCAAAACTTCCATAAATCAAATTTCTTTAGGTATCCGCATATAAATAAATTTTTCAAAAATTCCTTTTCTATATGATTCTACAAATTATCCACGAATTCATTTAATTTCAAAATCTCTTTTTTAATGACTTGCGATAATATAACGTTTTCAAAAACGAAGCTCGAAATAGAAATTTGAGAAAGAAAATATGTCATTATTCTCGAAAGCGATCCTCGACGACCCAAAACCGAATGATTTCTACTGTCCAACCAAGCACCCATGGTCCATCTCTAACTGGCCAAATGGGAGATATAGAGAACGCGTTCACCGTCGATTTCACCTATTATTATCATACATATTACCCCGCATTAATCATCCTGATTCGATTCTGACCGTGTCAACTGGATAATGTGATTTACAGTCGGGGGTGCCGGACATGCACGAGACCCTGTCCAGTTTTTCGGAACAGTTCAGGGACGGGCCGACGAAACCGGAAATAAAGCCGGAAACAGCCAAGGAGTCGGAGAGCACCGAGGAGCCGAAGTGCGGTTGGTTCTGGTTCAGGCCAATGTACCTGCAGAGATTTCGAACCGCGAAATGGGCGCTTTTCTGGTTGTGCTGGACGGGCGCGATACAAGGTACGTAATTTAATTTTAATCCTTTATTAAATCTATATTCGATAGGATCTTCGGCACTCCGGCTGATTCGAAGCTCGAAAAACGAGTGAAACTAAGTTTAGTTAGAGATCAAGGCATAGTCTTGGAAATGAGAAAGGAAATTTTTGTAATTTCGGAAATATTTCGAAAATTTATTGCACGGATCTTTGGGAGAACGATAGTTTCGCAATTTAACCCCCAAAAAGGAAAGATTGGAAAAAATACTTAAAAAACAATGTAAATCAAATTCTAGGAAATTATAAGTAATCTCAATAAAATATCAGGAAAGATAGGTTAAGTATCTACAATAGTTAAATTAACTCAAAAAAGGAAAGATTGGAAAGAATATTTTTAAAAAATTTTGATCAAATTTTCGAAAATTATAAATAACCTCAATAAAGAATCAGGAAAGATAGGTTAAGTATCTACAATAGGCAATTTAACCTAAAAAAGGAAAGATTGGAAAAAGTATTTTTAAAAAAATTTTAATCAAATTGTAGGAAATTATAAATAATGTTGATACAAATCAGGAAAGGTAGGTTAAGTTTCTACAATAGGCAATTTAACCTATGAAAGGAAAGATTGGAAAAAATATTTTTTAAAAATTTTAATCAAATTCTACGAAATTATAAATAATCTTAATACAAATCAGGAAAGGTAGATTATGTTTCTACAATAGTATCATGGAAATTAAAAACAGGAAAGTTTTTTAAATATTTGTTAAAATCCCAGTGCTAAGCTCTCAATGAGAAAGGAACTAAATTATCCCTATATATCTAGCTTATTTTCTAACCAAATCTCGTGAAACACGAGCGCGGGAACAGTGAAGTAAATTAAATTTCCCCAATCATTTATATCAATTCCCCGACATCAGGTTACACATTTTAATAGTTCTCGCAAAACGCGAAAGGTAGCGCGCCAGGCACAGCGAGGCCAGTGCAGCGTGCTTTGTAATCAGCCGCCACAAGCGCGTCAAACATTCCGGCACAATAAACCGCATGTCCACGAGCGACGTATCGAAAAGCGGCAGTCGATCGACCTCTCAAACCCCGTCGATCATGAACGCGACATTACCCAGCACGACCGTCAGTCATCGAAACAACGATATGTATTTCGCCTGCAAACAAATCTCCGTTGATTTTTCCTCATAATCCGGCTCCCGCGCCCGTACACCGAGTTTACATGCACACGCGCGCCACCTGATTGACTTCGATATCGCCGTTTGGCGTTACTAATAGCCGTGCATTCGAATGCAATTTCGAAGCTTTCACGGTGCCACGAGGGGGTCAGGAAAGAGGTGGGGTGGCCGACGGTGACTGACGATAACCGGAAATCGAGTTTTCCGGGCCGGTGGCAGGAGGTTGACGCGCCACAGGCGAGGGACGTCGTCGAAAGGAGAGCGATCGAGTCGAAAAGGGACTACAGTCACGTTGGCGGGACGAAGATCGTCGACGCTGTGGCTGGCAGGAGTGGGGACGGCGCAGCGGAGGTGGGGGAACGCGGTGGTGGGAGAAAGGAGCGCACACGGAGTCGCGCTGGGTACTTGGTTTAAATAAGTTTGTTCGTTCCCCTTGGACGGGACGCGACAAAAGAAATCGTCCTGTGGAGGTTCGTGCCTTCTCCAGGCCCAATGGGATTGAACAAATTGCTGGACAATGGAGCCGGCAATCGTCTATATAAGTCGGGAATGTAAGCAAGTACGTGGCTAATGCGAGCTTACGTGGATCCCGTTTGCTCGTGCTGCGTGACGCCAGCACGACCGGAAGCGAGAGAATCGGCCGGCAGCTGGAGAAACAAATTGTCCACACCGCACGACCAGTCGCGCACCAGCTTTAATTAAAATTCTCCTATTAGCGATACAATGGGAAACGAAGGTGGTTCATTTTCCGGGTAGACAGACGTTGCTTCTCGCTCGCCCTCACCGTGCTAACTCGAGCCGTGGACAGTGGGAGTGGGGGTAACGACTCGCACGTCACTTAATTGCTTGTGGCGCGGTTTGAATTTCTTTGCACGCGTTTGCAAGGTTTCTAGCAGCAACTGAGGTGGCGTTGGGATCGCGAGTAGACATACAGGGGAGCGTTTAAGGTTAACGTGTTTAGAATGACAAGGAATCTTTTATGAGCTGTTGGGTAGCTTGGTTGGGTTGTTGGTTTGAAATATAATTATAGGGTGTTGAAGAAGTTTAATTTTTTTTTTGTTACTTTTATTATATATTGATTATTAAATTTAGTCGGTTAATGAAATGATTGAATAGACATAGAAGTAAAATACTTATTTTGTTTCGTATATTGATTTAGAAGATTCATGTGAGGTTTTGAGAGAAAAGAATGTTTGTTAATTATTGAATTTAGTTAGCCAGTGAAATATAACACGTATAAAAGTGCATATACCACCTATCAAACTATCCAGCTCAGATTTCCCGTTCAAAAGCCAAAAATCATTTTCTACGAAGGAAAATCCAACTTTTTCTTCAAATTTCCATCACCATGCCCGTAATAACCCGTTAAAGGACCCCAGGGCGTCCAGAGCCGTTCGTGGAGTCGAATAACTGTAATCCCAGAGAAACACAATCGTCAATAGGAAGCCGTGGAGGGAAAATCCCGTGCTGAGGGCGCCACAGTCGAGCTGATCTCCGAGAGAAGATTCATTTTTGCAATTGTCAGAGATGGTTGAACGCTTTTGTCAGACGATACTGCGCGCCAGTGGCCCTGGTTCGTAATTCGACGCCCTGTCAGCGCCTGTTTGCAGCTTCCAACGAACGAACACTGCAGCCACCGTGCGATTCAGAGGGCGATTAGCGCCGTGTATATTCGTGAGAAAGAAGTGTTTAATAGATTTACGTTCGAGAGAGCGATTTCTTGGAGGGTGAGCAGACACCGGGTTTGAGGGGAGGCCTGATTGAATTAGTCTAACCCCTTCTGGTTCGTTTACACGCGCGGCGCGGATTCGAGGATCCGACACATGCAGATCAGTGATCGACGTTGCGAATTTCAGAAGCGGGCCAGGAAATCGAGGTATTATTAAGATGCCCGAGTATTATTCTCGACCGAACGCTTTCCTGATTATTTAATTCGGTTGAAATCGATGCAGAGAAGAAATACTATCGATTGTACAACTCGAGGGCGAAAAATAACGTGGCATAGAACGGTACTGTGTCAATCGGTTAATGGATTGACGTGGAGTTTCCATTCTTGGAGCTAATTGTAAAAATAGCGAATAATAAATGACGAAATGGTAAACTTGGTGGTGATGTAGACCGCTCCTAAGAATAAATTGAAATATTTGAAACAATAGTATACACAGCAAGAAGTAAGTCTCAAAATGATATAAATAAAATTAGAAAATAATTTAATAATAATTTATAATATTTATAATAAACTTGCAATATTGGTGGATTACAGAAATATTTGAAAACGTTGTATAATATTAGTCAGAATCGTCATTAATTAGAAAGTAAGGAGTTCTAATATACTTAACTCACTAGCGCCACCACGGCTCGCATCTACAATGAACTTACAATAAATATCTGAAGAACTTCGATAAATTAATGTCATAAAATAATCTATAGACATTGTCCTACGACTATTGGTACTATTTTAATGTTATTATTAATATCATTTTTAAGGATCGTCATCATTCTTGACATTTAACCCACTAACAACAAGCATTCTGAATTAATAACCATTATCACACACTTTACCTAATCTATAGACATTATCCATTCATAAAAGCAAACATCCGCCTAATCGACCAACCCTAAACGATAATTGGAGACAGCATCGATTATTCCATTACCAGAATGGAACTCATTCAATCCTCCATTTTCCATCACTGAGTCGATCAAAAACTTCTCACACGCCATAAACCAATTTAATTTCTTTCAGGTATGGTGGTGAACGGTTTCGTGAACGTGGTGATAACAACCATAGAAAGGAGATTCGGCCTGAGGTCGTCGCAAACCGGCCTCATAGCAGGCGGATACGACATAGCTAGTTTCCTTATCCTCGTCCCAGTGAGCTACTTGGGTGGACGCTCGAAAGCTTCGAAACCGAGGTACATATATGTACATACACGTCTGTATATATACATGCATATAAGCCATTGTCCTGCCTATTAATATTAATATCGATATCGGTTCACCCCGACAGTTCTCATAAATATTAATCCTAACGTCAGCCGGTCCAACAGTATCGGCGTTAATCTCCATTTTGTTCCTTCGCTTCGACACTCCCTGACCCTATGCTGCATAGGCTGGATCCTTAATCGATAATTGATAACACTTGGAAGCAGCTAAACAACGTTATTTTCGGGTTGAAGTTGGAACATGAATATTTATATCCTAGGGATCCCTAGAAAGTTCGCCTGGTCTTCCTAACTAGGGAGTAATGACGAGTCTTATGTTAGTTTTCGTGGTTTTGTTAAGTTTGTCTAATTGATTATGGATGCTGCTTTATTTAACTTTTGTTCTTCGATTTTGAGAAAATTTTAGTTTTAATTAGTCAGTAACTAATTTGTTACTATTACCAAGTTACTAGTTTTATCGTGGATGGAAAATAAATATGTACAGGGTGTAAAAAAAGTTAGTTTTTAATTGAATATGCCTCCTATATTTTCTATTTAAGTGTATTCTGACTATATTTCCTATCTTTCTAATTATTATTATTTTCTAATTATTATCTTTTCCCTAATTTTCATTAATTTGAGAATTTTAATATGAGTATAGTAGAGAAATGACTAATCAAGGGATCAGAGGAACTTTCTGGGATATCTATTAAGCATATATGTCAGAACTGAAAAGAATTACATCTTTGAAATGAAGGATGTCAACATTTTTGGATCATAGTGATTTTATTTTTGCTTGTTAGGTACATAGGCATAGGTGTTCTAGTCTTAGGCTTAGGAAGTCTGCTCTTCGCGTCTCCTCACTATATTGCTGGACCATACAGAGGAGGCCAGCAGTCGGAGAACATATGCCAGAGGGTGACAAACACATCGTCTCGTTCGGTAAATAATTTTAAGGAACTATTAATTAATCCGACATATTAAAGAACAGTGAACCTAGCTGACACTTCTTACTTTCTTGGATTTAGTTAAAAGCTTCAAACTAATTTTTGAAAATGTAAATAGAAGTAAATAACGATAATAATAATTCGTCTGTTAATACAATAATTATATTACTCGAGACTCATTTACAGGAAGACATAAGCCCCTGTATTTGGTGTTTGAAGAAGAAAAATTCAACTAGGGGTTTATAATCTTTCTATCATACAATTCATGTTTTATAATTGAGTATCATTAACAGTGGAATGTGAAATGAAAATTTTCTTTTATTAATTTTCAATGCTTTGCTGAATAGGAGAAATTCACATATATAATATAAGCTGGTAATACTAATAATATTATTAATAATTAGTAGTATATGTTAGTATTAATATTAGTGCACTGTCAACAATATTAGTATTAATAGAATAATGATATGAATTTGCAGATCAGTTTATATCCATAAAGACTATCATGGGTGATATTTTACTAATAATATAAATATTATACTAATATTATACTATTACACTTATAATAAATAATACACTATTACTTAAAAAATAGCATATAATACTTTGCACTAAATGGGCAAAATTCCACCCCATGTTATACTCAATAACATACATATATAATATAAACTAGTAATACTAATAATGTTATTATTAATTAGTAGTATATATCAGTATTAATATTAGTACACTAACAATAATATTAATATTAATAGAATAATAATATGAATTTGCAGAACAGTTTATAAACTTAAGGACTATAATGGAAATCATATTATAGAAACTCCTTTAATAATATAAATATTACACTAATGTTATATTATTACACTTATAATAAATAATACAGTATTATTTAATAAATAACGTATAATACTTTGCACTAAAAGAAAAGAAAATATAATAGGTATAAGAATAAATTTCTAAAGAAATCCTTAACCCCACAAGTTCAAAGGTACGACCCTGCTAAAAAAGGAATGTCCAATTAATAAAATCAACGAGACCATAGAGTAGATACCACAGGTTTCTCATCAAATTTTGACAAAGAGTTTTAAATATTTCAAAACGAAAGGTCAGAGGTATACGTGACACTGTCATTTATAGCACCTGTCCTGATTTTCTAATTAAATTACTCCCATTTCGCTTGTGTATCTTCGTCACCTAGCTGTCCTGCAACGGGTCCGCGGGCCAAGTGGATCAGGAACCATACAGCGGGTTGTACTTAACTATCTTCCTCATGGCTCAACTCCTGCACGGCGCTGGCTCCGCCCCCTTTTATACCCTCGGAGTTACGTTCATAGACGAGAACGTGTCGAAGAAGATGTCCTCTGTGTATGTAGGTAAGAAGCTAAGATCTTTTTTATTTTTACTTTTCCCGACTGTGGAAGCTTCTGTTACAAGAACAGAGTTATAACGCAGAAGATGTGAATCTGGGGACGGGGTCAAGTCGAATTAAATTAAATATTGTGCGACGAAAGCTTTCTTTGGGAATTACTATATTTTATTGTAATGCTAGTTATCGTGTGTTTCAAATTTTTAGTATTATTGAAGGGGGAAATTAGGGACCATTTTTGGTGCCATATGGCACCATTTAAGGTGACACTTTTGGTGCTATTTTAGGTACCATTCTAGGTGCTATTTTTGGTACCATTTTGGTACCATTTTTGTGTCATTTTTGTGCCATATTGGTACCATTATAGGTGACATTTTTTGTGCTATTTTAGGTACCATTCTAGGTGCTATTTTTGGTACCATTTTGGTGCCATCTTTGGTGCCATCTTCGGTACCATTTTAGTGCCATCTTTGGTACCATTTTGGTGCCATTTTTTGTACCATTTTGGTGCCATCTTTGGTGCCATCTTTGGTGCCATCTTTGGTACCATTTTAGTGCCATCTTTGGTACCATTTTAGTACCATGTTTGGTACCATTTTGTTGCCATTTTTTTATATCATTTTGGTGCCATCTTTGGTACCATTTTGGTGCCATTTTTTGTACCATTTTGGTGCCATCTTTGGTGCCATCTTCGGTGCCATCTTTGGTGCCATTTTCGGTGCCATCTTTGGTACCATTTTAGTGCCATCTTTGGTACCATTTTAGTACCATCTTTGGTACCATTTTGTTGCCATTTTTTTATATCATTTTGGTGCCATCTTTGGTACCATTTTGGTACCTTTTTTGGTACCATTTTGTTGTCATTTTAGTGCCATTTTTGTGACATTCCTAGTGCTATTTTAGTACCACTTTAAACATTTCGAGTATTAGAATTAGTATTAGTAGAATACTAGTGTTTGAGTAAATTTTTAATATTACGATTATAGTAATTAAAATTAAGTACCATTTTAGGTACCATTTTAAAATCCATTTAGAAAAATAGACGAGTGATATTTAAAAATTCAGTCGTTGATTTACCCCAGGAAAATGTAATATCGTAAGTTTAAAAATTTGAAAACGATCGCAATACAGAAACGAAATGATAGAATTTAGTAATAAAAATAAGTGACGAAAAATTATGGCAGGAAATTAATGTTAATCACAAAACTTTCTGAGATTTTTAAAATGGCATTAAAAGGTTGAATACCTTCTTCTGTCCAGGAATTTTCTACACAATGGCCATAATAGGGCCTGCGTTAGGCTACGTGGTCGGAGGCGAATTGCTGAAGCTGTACACAGATTTTATCACCGTGGATCCGTCAGAGTGAGTCTGAATACAAATGTTCACAGTCACACTAACGCTATGCATGGTATGCCTGTTAAAGTAGCTTAGAAATGATTTCATGGAAACGACGATTAATGAAACTCGAAAATTTTTTCGGATAGACGTACATCAGTGGTACGAAAAATATTTTCGAATATGAGAATGAAATTTTTGTACGAATTATGTTACGCATAAAGGCTTCTAAGAATACATGAACACCACGACTAATTAAAATTCGAACGAGATTCGAAATGCATGAATTTTTCATATCCCGGAAAGCTGAAAAATAAATGAGAGAAAGATAGGTTATGTATTAAGAGTATCAATTAATAGTAATCTCGGTAGTTTGAAATTATTCATTGAATAACTATAACTTCAATTTCACTACGATCTGTGAGTATAATTACGATAATTACACGCATGTTAAGATTCCAAAAAGGATAATACAAGATAAAATATTACTTCCTGTTGGAAAATATCTTTCATCACGAAAATAATGCAGAGTTACAGTTAAACAATTCTTTTCTGTAATTAGAAAATTGTTAAATAGCATTTTTCAAAATAATAATAATATATTAATGAT